GTGTATTTTGAATAAACCAGAGTTTTACTCTCAGTATTTTTTCCATTGGACCAATGGAGTTGTTCCTCACAAGCTCTGTATAAAAGAGTGGCGTATTTTGAATAAACCAGAGTTTTACTCTCATTTTTTTTTTCCATTGGTCCAATGGAGTTGTTCCTCACAAGCTCTGTATGAAAGAGCGGCGTATTTTGAATAAATCGGATTTTTTAGTATCACACCCCCCTGAATCAGAGTCTTCCCACTCCCGTCCTGCCTCGAGGGTGGGAGGCCGCGTTTTCACGGGGGCGCCGGCCCCGTGCCCGTGTCAAACCGGGGCACAGCGCTCGCCCGGCTCTCCGCCCACCCCGTTGGGGGGTCCCGGGGAAAGGGGGCGCAGAGTGCCCATGAGCGCGGTGTAACTCATCCTCCTCCTCCACGCGTGGTTTGGGGGGTCCCCGACCCCTCAGCAGCTCCGGGTTTTCTCCCCGCAGGCTCCGGGAGCGCGGAGGCGGCGGGAGGAGGAGGAGGAGGAGGAGGAGGAGGAGGAGGAGGAGGAGGAGGAGGAGGAAGAGGCTGCGAGCGCCCGCGGGGAGCGGTGAGAGGGGCTGGGGGTGGGAGAGGGGCTCGGCTGCTGTCGAGGCAGGACGGGAATGAATAGACTTGACTCAGAAGGTTGCGAGAGTGAAACTTGGATTGATTTAAAATATATTGCTTTGTGAGCACTAAATCCATCGGTTTTGAAGTGAAAACAACTCACACCGTTGGTGCACAGTGCTTGACGCACGGCGATAGAACTTAACTGTAAACAATGTGAGAAACGAGAGAGATAAAGAATTATTTTACATTCTTAATTAGCTCTTTCCCAGGTGTCTGCCTGGATAGAAACTCTCAGTTTCTCTCTTTGACTCGGCCACCCCAGGCCTGGCTAAGATTGCCCACGGGGGGGTCCCACCACACTGAAAGGTTTTGCGGCGCCCACCCCACAAAGGGGGGGACCCTGCGAGGTTCCCCACCTCTGCAACACCCCTTGTACCCCCAGAACAAGGAGCCGGGGCTCCCCCCGACCCTCCCAGCCGACGACCCCTACGAAGACGCCGAACCCCCCGGGCACGGTGAGGTCTCCCCGCGACCCCTCCCCAGCTCCCCCCGCGTCCCCCCACCCCGGCCTGACCGAGCCCATCCCGGTGCCAGGCGGTGGCGACAGCGCCAGCAGCCACTACGAGTCGTACGGAGAGGAGGAAGAGGAGGAGGAGGAGGATGTGGGGGTGACGGACCGGGCCCACTACCTGCGCTGGCCAGCGGGCACCGGCGCCGAGCCCCCCGAGCCCCCCGGGCGCCCCGAGGCGCAGCTCTGCGGTTTCCTCTGGAGGAAGCGCTGGCTCGGCCGCTGGGCGAAGCAGCTTTTCATCGTCCGGGAGCACGTCCTGCTGGTGAGGGGCTGGCAGCAGGATGGATGAAGGTGGCAGGGGGGCTCCGTGCCCAACTGGAAGCCCTCCGTGCCCCCCTGACCCCGCCGTGCCCGCCCCGCAGTGCTTCAGGTGCGCCGCGGACCTGCAGCCGGTGCTGGAGCTGGACCTGCGCGGCTGCCGCGTCTCCCGCAAGGACAAGAGGGGCAAGAAGATGCCCCACGCCCTGAAGGTGGCAGGGAGGGCAGGAGAGGTGCTGGTCATCGGCTTCCAGAGCCGGCAGCAGGCTGAGGACTGGAGGAAGGTTTGGAGGTGTTGCAGCTGGGCAGGAGAGGGGTGGGCAGGGGGGAAATGGGGGCACAGCCCTGCCCCGGTGCTGCTGGGGGAGCTGGGGGTGATCTGGGGTGTCCCCAGTTCCTTCCTGGGGGTTGTGAGGAGCATTTTTTAGTGGGGGATTTGGGATGATCCGGGGTGTCCCCAGTTCCTTCCTGGGGGTTGTGAGGAGCATTTTTAGTGGGGGATTTGGGATGATCCCCAGATCCTTCCTGGGGGTTGTGGGGAGCATTTTTTAGTGGGGGATTTGGGATGATCCCCAGTTTTTTCCTGGGGGTTGTGGGGAGCATTTTTTAGTGGGGGATTTGGGATGATCCCCAGTTCCTTCCTGGGGGTTGTGGGGAGCATTTTTAGTGGGGGATTTGGGATGATCCCCAGTTCCTTCCTGGGGGTTGTGGGGAGCGTTTTTAGTGGGGGGTTTGGGATGATCCGGGGTGTCCCCAGTTCCTTCCTGGGGGTTGTGGGGAGCATTTTTTAGTGGGGGATTTGGGATGATCCCCAGTTCCTTCCTGGGGGTTGTGGGGAGCGCTTTTAGTGGGGGGCTGGGGATGATCCGGGGTGTCCTCAGTTCCCTTCTGGGGGATGTGAGGAGCATTTTGGGTTGTGGGGAGCATTTTTTTTTGTGGTGGGGCTGGGGATGATTTCTAGTTTCCTTCTGGGGGTTGTGGGGAGCATTTTTTAGTGGGGGCTGGGGATGATCCAGGGTGTCCCCAGTTTTCTTCTGGGGGTTGTGGGGAGCATTTTTAGAGGGGGGCTGGGGATGTCTGTCCCCAATTCCCTCCTGGGGCCTGTGAGGATCATTTTGGGTTGTGAGGATCATTTTGGGTTGCCAGGACCATTTTGGGTTGTCAGTACCATTTTTAGAGGGGGACTGGGGATGTCTGTCCCCAGTTCCCTCCTGGGGCCTGTGAGGATCATTTTGGGTTGTGAGGAGCATTTTGGGTTGTCAGGACCATTTTGGGTTGTGAGGAACATTTTGGGTTGTCAGGACCATTTTTAGAGGGGGGGCTGGGGATGATCCCCAGTTCCCTCCTGGGGGTTGTGAGGATCATTTTGGGTTGTCAGGACCATTTTTAGAGGGGGGCTGGGGATGATCCCCAGTTCCCTCCTGGGGCCTGTGAGGATCATTTTGGGTTGTGAGGAGCATTTTGGGTTGTGAGGAGCATTTTGGGTTGTGAGGACCATTTTTAGGGGGGCTGGGTGTCGGGGTGAGCTCTGCCCGTCCCCAGGTGATCGAGGAGGTGAGCAGCGACGCCCCGAGCGGGCTGGCGGCTCTCCGCGTCCCAGCGCCGCCTTCCTCCAGGCCCGGCAGGGTGAGTTTGTGCCCGGGGAAAGAAACCCGGGAACGGGAACGGCTCAGGAGTGAACCCCAAATCCCCGGGAGAGCTGAGACCCGCAGAGTCGGGGTCCCCCCGCAGAGTCGGGGTCCCCCCGCAGAGTCGGGGTCCCTCCACAGATTCGGGGTCACCCCACAGAGTCGGGGTCCCCCCAAAGAGTCGGGGTCCCCCCACAGAGTCGGGGTCCCCCCAAAGAGTCGGGGCTCCCCTCACAGATTTGGGGCTCCCCTCTCAGATTCGGGGTCCCTCCCCAGATTCGGGGCTCCCCTCTCAGATTCGGGGTCCCCTCACAGATTCGGGGCTCCCCTCTCAGATTCGGGGTCCCTCCACAGATTCGGGGCTCCCCTCTCAGATTCGGGGTCCCCTCACAGATTCGGGGTCCCTCCACAGATTCGGGGTCCCTCCACAGATTCGGGGCTCCCCTCACAGATTCGGGGTCCCCTCACAGGTTCGGGGTCCCTCCCCAGATTCGGGGTCCCCTCTCAGATTCGGGGTCCCCTCTCAGATTCGGAGTCCCCTCACAGATTCGGGGCTCCCCTGACAGATTCGGGGCTCCCTCTCAGATTCGGGGTCCCCTCACAGATTCGGGGTCCCCTCACAGATTCGGGGTCCTCCCACAGATTCGGGGTCCCCTCACAGATTCGGGGCTCCCCTCACAGATTCGGGGTCCCCTCACAGATTCGCGGCTCTCCCCATAGATTCGGGGTCCCCTCACAGATTCGGGGTCCCTCCACAGATTCGGGGTCCCCTCACAGATTCGGGGTCCCTCCCCAGATTCGGGGCTCCCCTCTCAGATTCGGGGTCCCCTCTCAGATTCGGGGTCCCCTCACAGATTCGGGGTCCCTCCCCAGATTCGGGACTCCCCTCTCAGATTCGGGGTCCCCTCACAGATTCGGGGCTCCCCTCTCAGATTCGGGGTCCCCTCTCAGATTCGGGGTCCCCTCACAGATTCGGGGCTCCCCCCATCCCCACTCTGCGCCTGCCGCAGCGCAGCTCGGCAAGGAGGAGGAGGAGGAGAGGAGGAAGCGCTGCCGGCCGAGCCCTGCGCGACCCCGGGAGGACGGGAGAGGAGGTGGGGGGCTGCGAGGGGTCGGGGGTCGGGGGTCGGGATTCGGTTTCGGGATTCGGGGTTCGGGGGTCGGAGTTTGGGGTTCGGGATTCGGGGTTCGGGGTTGGGGTTCGGGGTTGGGATTCGGGGGTCGGGATTGGGGGTTCGGGGTTCGGGGGTCGGGGTTCGTGGTTTGGGGTTCGGCATTTGGGGATCGGGGGTCGGGATTCGGGGTTCGGCATTTGGGGATTGGGGGTCGGGGTTCGGGGTTCGGCATTCGGGATTCGGGGTTCGAGATTCGGGGTTCGGGGTTCGGGGTTCAGGATTCGGAGGCCAGGGGTCGGGATTCGGGGGTCGGGAGTTCGGGGGTCGGGGGTCGAGATTCGGGGTTCCTGTTCGGGGTTCGGGTTCGGGGGTCGGGGTTCGGGGGTCGGGGGTTCGGGGGTCGGGGCTCCGGGTCGGGATTCAGGATTTGGGGGTCGGGTTTCGGGGTTCGGGGTTCGGGGGTTCGGGGATCGGGGTTCGGGGTCGGGATTCAGGATTCGGGGGTCGGGTTTCGGGGTTCGGGGTTCGGGGGTCGGGGTTCGTGGTTCGGGGTTCGGCATTCGGGGTTCGGGTTCCGGGGTCGGGGTTCGTGGTTCGGGGTTCGTGGTTCGGGGGTCGGGGTTCGTGGTTCAGGGTTCGGCATTCGGGGTTCGGGGGTCAGGTTCGGGGGTCGGGATACTGGGGTCGGGATTCGGGTTCGGGGTTCGGGGTTCGGGGTTTGTGGTTTGGGGTTCGGCATTTGGGGATCGGGGGTCGGGATTTGGGGTTTGGCATTCGGGATTCGGGGTTGGAGATTCGGGATTCGGGGGTCGGGGTTCGGGGTTCGGGGTTCAGGATTCAGGATTCGGGGGTCGGGTTTCGGGGTTCGTGGTTCAGGGTTCGGCATTCGGGGTTCGGGGGTCAGGTTCGGGGGTCGGGGGTCGGGATTCGGGGTTCGGGGTTCGGGGTTCGCTGTTCGGGGTTCGTGGTTCGGGATTCGGGGGCCGGGGGGTGCCAGCCCCGTGCCCGCCGCCGCCGCTGCCCGCAGGGTTCCCGGCGCTCGGGCAGCGCCTGCGGGGCGCGCTCCGCCGCGGGGCCCTGCGGGTGTTGGCGGAGCCCCGCGCCGCCCCGCGCCGGGACGGATGCGGGGTGTCCCCCGTGACGGCCGCGGGGTCCCCCCAAAACCTCGGCGCCCGCATCGCCCAGCGCGGCCGGGAGCTCGCCCGGCTGCAGGTGAGAGAGCGGCAGGGTACCCCCGTGTGCCTCTCGGGGGCACCCCCTGAGCCCGGGCTGTACCCCGAGGGCACCCCCTGAGCACGGACCGTACTCTGGGGGCACCCCCTGAGCACAGACCGTACTCTGGGGGCACCCCCTGAGCCGGGCTGTACCCCGGGGGCACCCCCTGAGCACGGACCGTACTCTGGGGGTGCCCCCTGAGCCGGGCTGTACCCCGGGGGTGCCCCCTGAGCCGGGCTGTACTCTGGGGGCACCCCCTGAGCCCGGACTGTACCCCGGGGGCAGCCCCCGAACCTGGGCCGTACCCCGAGGGTACCCCCTGAGCCCAGGCCATACCCCAGGGATACCCCTGAACCCGGGCTGTACCCCGGGGGCACCCCCTGAGCACGGACTGTACTCTGGGGGCACCCCCTGAGCCCGGACTGTACCCCGGGGGTGCCCCCTGAGCACGGACCTTACCCTGGGGGCAGCTCCCGAACATGGGCCGTACCCCGAGGGTACCCCCTGAGCCCAGGCCATACCCCAGGGATACCCCTGAACCCGGGCCGTACCTTGGGGGCACCCCCTGAGCCTGGACCCTGCTTTGGGGTCACCCCCTGAAACCAGGCCATACCCCGGGAGTACCCCCTGAACCTGGACCCTGCCCTGGGGGTACCCCTTGAGCCCAGTCCCTGCTTTGGGGGCACGCCCTGATCCCAGACCCTGCCCTGGGGTGCCCCCTGATCCCAGACCCTGCTGAAGCAGCACCCCCTGATCCCAGACTCTGCTTTGGGGTCACCCCCTGAGCCCAGATCCTGCCCTGAGGGCACCCCCTGAGCAAGGACCGTACCCAGGGGGCACCTCCTGATCCCAGA